AGAGGCAGCGCGTGGGCTGCAGGGGCGGCGCGTGGGCTGCAGGGGCGGCGCGCGGGCTGCAGGGGTGGCGCGTGGGCTGTAGTGGCGGCGCGCGGGCTGCAGAGGCGGCGCGCAGGCTGCAGGGGCGACGCTCGGGCTGCAGGGGCGATGCGTGGGCTGCAGGGGTTGCGCGGGGCTGCAAAGGGCGGCGTGCAGGCTGCAGGGGCGACGCACGGGATGGAGGGGCGACGCGCGGGGCTGCAGGGGCGGTGCGATGCGGGGCAGGGCAGGGCGTGCGCGGGGCAGCGCGATGGTGGGCAGGGCAGGGCCTGCGCGGGGCGGCGCGACGCGGGGCAGGGCAGGGCGTGCGCGGGGCAGCGCAACGCAGAGCAGGGCAGAGCGTGCGCGGGGCAGGGCAGGGTGTGCACGGGGCAGCGCAACGCAGAGCAGGGCAGGGCGTGCTCGGGGCAGCGCGACGCGGGGCATGGCAGGGCGTGCGCGGGGCAGGGTGTGCACGGGCAGCGTGACGTAAGGCAGGGCAGGGCAGGGCGCGCGCGTGACGGCGCAGCGCAAGGCAGGGCGTGGGGTAGCGCGGTAACCGCAGTCGGTCACTAGCTAATGGTGGGCCTGAAAAAAAACGGTCCTACGGACCTACTGCTCTGAAATCGTGTCAGAAACTAAGGAGCAGGAATATATGCATTGATCAGAAATGTGGTACAAGTACAACCCTAATTGGGTTGTACCTCACATAGGCTACCCCACTACAGCCTACACAATATAAGCAACATTATTGTTTGACAGCCCTGCCTGTCCCGTCGCGTCGTGCCCGTACCGTCCCGTCCCCTCGCTGATGTAACCAAAGGATCGAAGTGGATAGAACAAGTCTGCAAAGTTTAAGAGAAAACAATGAAGAACTTGGAATTGACCTTGTTGATTCATAGTTGAAAGAGAATAAGATAGCAAACTAGCAAACCATGTACTCTGAGGGGTGCATTCCCTTATTAACTGTATTGCATTGCTACAGTAACCACGACTATTGCTATTCTCGACAATTACCGTGTTGCAGCGCGTAACTACCGAGTGCGGTTACTGTTGGTGCAACCCTACGGTTTGCACTCGGCTTGTTGTCCGTGTGCGTGCATGTGTGTGTGTATGGAATGGTATGAGGGCATGAGATAATATATTTTTCATGCTTATAATTGTGTGTGAATGTTGAGTCATGATGTCGAGTGTGTGTGTCGAGTCAATAGCGAGTTATCGGTAGACGCGTGTTACGCGGTCGTTTGTGTCTCGCGCGCGGTTTCTATTTTGTCGTGCGCGGTTTCTATTTTGTCCTGTGTCGAACGTTCGGCGTGTCGCAGGTGTGTGCAGCAGACCCATCAAGAACTCAAGGATGAGTTTGTGATGAAGAGCCCGAGCCTTGGTGTCAAGCCTCAAGTGATTTCGAAGCTCGCCAAAAGGGTACACCTCAAGATATTGAAGATAGTTACATTACTTTGTGTAGTGTAACATTTCACTTGGTGTAGGCCCTAGTGAAGGGTAGTTTCGAGACCCTTCGTGGTTGGGGACAGTGTGGCACTGTTCCACATCACTGTACCTCGGCTCTTGGGGTTTGTAGGAGTTGGGAGTCATTCCCAACTCGAAAATCTTCCCAACTCTTCCTATCTTGTGTTCTAAGACTATAGTGGCTGCCATAGTGCCGTTCGTTCAAACTGACGCTGTGTCGTCAATACTTGGTGAAATCGTGCGATCTAAATTGCCTATTGTAGGCGACAATAAGACGCTCCAGATCCAAGTTGAATCAAGTCATTTGAAGCTGTGACCAGAACGCTATGAACGTTTGAAGCCGCTGTGCAGAAATCCGGCTGTGCACTCTATCTTTCGTTTTAGGCACATTGGAGCCTACTGTGACTATAACAAGTGGTATCAGAGCCCTTGGAGCAGTTTCGACAATTGCTGGACCTGAGGAAAGGGGTGGCAGAGGTGCTGGTGGCAGTGGAGAAGCCCAAGCTCAAGGCCAACCCCGTGACTCAGCCATGGCGCCCGTGCAACCAAGTGTTGCTGCTACTGGTGGCGCTGGAGATGGAGGTTCTGGAGCTGCTAGAGGAGCTAGAGCTGGAGGTACTGCGGCACTAGAGCTGGAGGTTCTGGAGCTGTAGGTTCTGGAGATGCTGGAGGCGCTGGAGCTGGAGGTGCTGCTGCTGGAGTCACTGGAGCTGGAGGTGCTGCTGCTGGAGGCCCAGGGGCTGGAGGTTCTGGAGCTGCTGGATGTGCTGGAGCTGCTGGATGCGTTGGAGCTACTGGTACTGGTGGCACTGCACCGCCGCGACTGTTTTTTGCTCCGCCGTCACCGTCGTCTCTGCCACCGCCTGACTCCGTGCTTCTCCATGTTCTTAGCCTCCCGTCTTCTACTGGCCTCCCGTTACAGCCCGGCGCACCACTGCCTGCTCCTCCTTACACAGAGCACACACACTCGCTTACAGAGCATCGTGAGCCTGCGTCTTGTCCTGCCTCGCTTGTTCGCGCTGGTCGCACTAGTCGTCGTGTTCCTCGTGAGCATCCGCCTCCTGTCCCTGGCACGCACGCTATGGCACTTTGTCCTTCCTTTGTTCCACAGCGTGTTCCCCTATCGTCTCCTCCTGCGTCTTCTGTGCTTGACGATCAGGACCCTGAGTTTGACCTGGTTCGTGCTGCTCGCCCTACTGTCGCTCGTCTGCTAGCCATTGCTATCACTGACCCGTCGTTTGCGTCTGCTGCTGCGTCTGCCTTAGTCTCTGAGCTTGTTGACTTTGCTGCTGCCTGTCGTCTCAACTTCGCTGCTAGTCTTGTTGTGGAGTCTGAGTCTGTCTGTCCTCCGTCCGTCGGGGGTGAGTGTGCTCTTGGCACGAATGTCCTTGAGGACAGACAGGAGGACCTTGAGTGTCTTGCAGCCGCTGCACCTCATCTCGTGGCCATGCTGCTTGCCCCTGAGGGAGACCCGGATGCTCCAGACATCCCGACCCCGCGCTCTTACGCTGAGGCGATCGCGGGTGAGTACTCCTCTCAGTGGCAGACAGCCATGGACGCAGAGATGGCATCCTGGAAGTCCACAGGCACTTACGTCGATGAGATTCCCCCTCCTGGGGCGAACATAGTCGATGCATGTGGATTTTCAGGGTGAAGCGGCCGCCGGGCTCTCCGCCTGTCTTCAAGGCTCGTTACGTTGCACGAGGCTTCAGTCTGCGACAGTGAGTTGACTTCTTCCAGACCTTCTCCCCCACCCTGAATATGACCACTCTTCGGGTGCCGCTCAGCGTGACTACGAGCTTCACTCTCTGGACTTCAGCACAGCGTTCTTATAGGGTAGTTTGTACGAGGAGATCTGGCTGCGCCGCCCACCTGGCTTCACTGGGTCGTTCCCTCTTGGTACCCAGTGGAGCCTCCGCCGGCCAGTCTACGGTCTTCGTCAGGCACCTCGTGAGTGGCACGAAGCTCTGAGGACGACACTTGCGGCTCTTGGGTTTGCACCTTCCTCTGCTCACCTGTCGCTGTTTCTGTGCACCGACACTTCGCTGCCGCCGTTCTACATCCTCGTGTACGTCGACAACTTGGTCTTTGCCACTGCTGACACTGAGGCTCTCGCCCTTGTGAAGTCGGAGCTGCAGAAGAGACACACGTGCACAGACCTGGGTGAGCTGTGCAGCTACATTGGCCTGCAGATCACCCAGGACAGAGCACGGCGCACCATCACACAGACTCAGTCACACATGGTACAGCAGGTCCTTCAGCGCTTTGGCTTCACTTGGTCCTCGCCACAGTCCACTCCTCTGGCTACCGGTCACTCGCTCTCAGCTCCACCTTCGGACGAGTCCGTAGAGCGGAGTGGCCCATACCCAGAACTAGTGGGCTGCCTCATGTACCTGATGACCTGTACTCGTCCTGACCTTGCGTACCCTCTTGGCCTTCTGGCACGCTACGTGGCTTCGGGTAGGCACCGAAAGGTGCACTTTGATGCTGCGAAGAGGGTACTGCGCTACTTGTGCAGTACATCGGGCATGGGGCTTGTGCTTGGAGGGCGGAGCTCAGTTGTCCTCACTAGGCACTCAGACGCTTCTTGGGTTGACGACTTGGCTACGCAGCGGTCGTCATAGGGTTACACGTTCAGCCTTGGCTCTGGCTCTGTTTCTTGGCGGTCTACCCGCTCATCTTCTGTTCTCAGCTCTAGTTGTGAGGCTGAGATCTACGCAGGGGTCATGGCTGCATAGGAGTTACGCTGGCTCACCTACCTGCTGACCGACTTGGGAGAGAGGCCTCGTTCTCCTCCAGTTTTGTACGTCGACAACAAGGCTGCCATTGCCTTGTGTCAGGACCACAGAATGGAGCACCGAACGAAGCACATCGCTCTTCGTTACTTCCTTGCTCGAGAGTTGCAGCAGCGTGGTCAGCTTGTCGCCCACGTGCCCACCCGGGCGAACACGGCTGATGTGTTCACCAAGGCCCTTCCGGCTGGTGATCATCAGCGCTTCTGCACTACTCTAGGCTTGGTGCCTACGTTTTCTCACTTGCTGTAGACTTTGGTTGTACTGTGATCTATATATATCTAGATGCATGTTTACTCTTGCTAGATAGTGATCACTGTACTGTTGTTGTTGCATATATACCTCTGCATGTGAACTGGCCTTGTGGCCCTTTTGCTTGTGCTCGGACTGTGTGGTGACGTTGTGATCCACCCTGAGCTTGCATTGCTTTTCTTGACTGGTCTTGCGACCCCTTGTTCTCCCCCACTTTGCCTATGGGGGTGTGTCAAACTATATATATGCTATGGTATAATGGGTAGGCTATAGTGGGGTAGCCAACATGGGGTACAACCCCTTTAGGTTTTGTACTTGTACCAACTCTCTCGATAGTTCACACCATTCCTGCTTGTTCATTCTTAACACGCGGTGATGCAGGGGGTTATGAGGCTCTCCAACTGTGTCGATTCATGGATAGGTGTGACGATGGATAGGTGTGAGGATGGTTAGGCGCGTTGCTTCTGCTGCTCACGTCGCCTGCGTGCGCCCAACGCCGTTCCGCCAGCCGCGCCTGCAGCCGCGTGAGCGCCACTGAAGCAGGCGCAAGTGCGCGCTTGATGAGGTGCGCGCTTGATGAGGTGCACGCTTGACGGGGTGCGCGCTTGACGAGGTGCGCGCATATTCATGCGGCAGCGCCATTGGCCGTCCCCACGACTGGTGGAGGGATGCGTGCGACGGTGGTATGGAGTGATGCGAGGTGGCTCGCCCATCCCCACACGCAACACTCCCACACCCGATCACCGCCCCACTCCTATCAATCGCCCCTGCCCTGCCTGCTTCGCCACCGCGGGCGCGTATAGTCGCGCTTGCTCCCGCCATCGCGCGCTCGGGCGAGCCGCCAATCGTGTTGCGCACCTCGCCACTTGCGCCAACACCCTCCGCCAAGCGCGGGTTGCACAGTGAGCGCGTGAGAATGACGAACATCGCATCAATACGTAGCAGCGCCGTGAGTGCGAGGCGTGTCAAGTAGATGTGAGTGCGTACCACTGAGCCCCTCACGCGAATCCACCTACTCATCCCTCCCAATCCCTTCTTCTCCGTCCCATTTCCTGTCTGCCCATTTCGGTTCCGCCCATTTCGGAGCTCTAGGAGTCTCAGCCTGACATGTCGGGATGGGAGGGGAGGTTAGGGCAGCGGGATGGGATATGAAGCGAGGAGTCAGGACGTCATCGTGGGGATGGAAAGAGGACTGGGGTGGGGTGGCATAGAGAAAGGAGGCACTTCAGGCCCTGACCGAAAGAAAGGGAAGAGGCTATGAGGTACATTTAAAGCAAGGGGAAGGTCGTACCTGGCTCTTTGCGGGAAGGTGTTCCGTATGTGGGAGCGTGCGTGCGTAAAAAAGTAGGATGTCAGATCTGTTGGAAAGTACAGCACCCCTATTTGGCTCTGGGAGGGGCTGCCTGGGTTGTTGGAGTGGCAAATGTGGGCGAGGAAGGGAGGGGTTGGGGGGTGGACCAGGGGATGCAAGGACAACGGGAAGGGCTGTGAGGGCGACGGAAAGGGATGTGAGGGTGACGGGTTGGGATGTGAGGGTGACAGGATGGGATGTGAGGGTGACGGAATGGGATGTGATGTGAGGGTGACGGGATGGGATGTGAGGGTGACGGGGTGGTATGTGAGGGCAGCAGGATGGGGAATGAGGTGACGGGAAGGGAAATGAGCGTGACGGGAAGGGAATTGTGGGTGATTGGAAGGGAATTGGGATGTGAGGGCGGAGGGATGGGATGTGAGGGCGGAGGGATGGGATGTGAGGGCGGAGGGATCAAATGAGGGCGGAGGGATCCTCTGAGGGCGGAGGGATGGGAAGGGAGGGGGGAGGGATGGGAAGGGAGGGCGGAGGGATGGGAAGGGAGGGTGGAGGGATGGGATGTGAGGGCGGAGGGATGGGATGTGAGGGCTTAGGAATGGGAGGTGAGGGCTGAGAGATGGGATGTGAGGGCGGATTGAAGGGATGTGAGGGCGGAGGGATGGGATGTGAGGGCGGATTGAAGGGATGTGAGGGCAGAGGGATGGGATGTGAGGGCGGATGGATGGGGAATGGTAGTGACGGGAAGGGAAATGAGCTCTCTGAGACGGGAAAAGAGGAAGAGTGGATGCAAGGGCGACCGGATGGACACTAAGGGCGATGTCCCGTGAAGGCGACCGAATGGATGTGAAGGCGGAACAATGGAATGTGAGGGCAGAGGGATGGGAAGGGAGGGCGGATTGAAGGGATGTGAGGGCAGAGGGATGGGAAATGGGAGCGACGGGAAGGGAAATGAGGAAGGTTGGACGTTTGAAAAGGAGACACAGGTGGGGAAGGAGAGAGAGCGAGATGGTAGTAAGGGAGGAAGGAAGTGTGTCGGAATAGGAAGCACGAAGATGAGGAAGTAAGGAAGGAAGGGTGCTAAAAGTACGGGCTCCTACGCAAGGTACCCCTGTTGGCGGCGAGCACGAAATGTGGAGGTGCTTATAACATATTGGCAGGTGAATTGTGGGGCAGGGAGAGCGGCGGACATGCACAGTGCGACGACGGTGAGGGCGACGGGAGGGACACTGTGGGCAGCGAGTTAGGAATTTCCGAGCAAGGATTTGACGGGCTCGGACGCAAGGTGGAACGGAAGGCCTGCGTGGGCGACACGGTGGGTGATGGGCGAGGATGAGATGGCAGCGGGACGCAAGCAATTGGTAGCGCAGAGAGAGGGGGGAAGGTTGGTGCGGTAGCTATGATAGAATTGGTCGAAGGATGAAGCGTGGAAGAAAGCGGTGGATGATGTGGGTTCGGATCGTTTTATGCCAGGGAGCTAGGGTGGAATGAAGGCATGGAAGCAGGGACTTTTGGGGGAGTGCGTAAAGCGTGAATGGAGGGAAGTGCGTAAGGAAAGGATGCGGGGAGAAATACGGACAAGAGGGGGTGAGCTTTCCTAACGGGGAACGAGTGCGGCTGCGGCCGTCACATGCGTGTGCGACGATTAGGGAAAGATTCTTACCACACGATATATGGAAAGTGTGACGTAGAGCGCGGAGGTGCGGGGAAGTGCCAAGGAATCTGGGAGGGAAATGAGGGAGACAGAGAGGGAATGAAGGGCGATGGATGGGGGGATGAGACCCCTCGGGACGGAAATGATGGCAGCGAGAAGGGAGCTGGGGGCGACAGGAAGGGGAAAATGGGGGTCGGGAAGGAAAATGAAGGCCTCTGGAAGGGGGAATGTGGGCGACGGAAAGGGTAAAAAAGGCCTTCGTGACGAGAAATTGGAAGGGCATTCGGAAGTGAGATGAAAGCGATGGGATGGGAAATTTGAGCGAGTGAAAGGGTAATGGGACCCATTAGGGCGATAGGAAGATAAAGGGTAGGCAGTGCATTGGTAGTGGTGTACGGCGGGATTGGAAATGAGTACGATGCGGATAGTAAAAGAGGGCGACGGTAAGAAAAGGCAAGTGCGACTGGAAGTGAAATGTGGGCGACGTGCAGGAAATCGAGGGGCTCGTAAAAAAGTGACGAGTGGCGACGCGGCGAATGCGCAGGCGCCAGATGTGGGAATTTTTGTCGATGGTAGACATAGCATCGCGGAAACGATGTGAGTGCAACGCGGCGTGAGAAGGGAGTGAATGCGATCTCGATGGGTGGAATTGGCGTGCATTTCGTGGCCAGCGACGGACAGCATTCAAGCCGGAAGGGCGAAAGCGCTTTTTCTCGTTCCCATACTTGGGCGGGCGAGGCGCCTTACACGACCGTCCGTGTTACAAACCTGCCTCTTGTCTCTATCGTGTTATGCGCGCCGCAAAAAATCGTGGCACGTACGTTTCTATTATGGACGTGCGCGCCCTGTTAGCCACAACTAGTACTTTTACGCATTTGATGTCTGTCCAGGTAGAGTACTAGTCTCACTTACTCAGTTTCTCGTAATGAGGCAAACTGTGCACAGTATGAGAAACCTGCTTTCTCTCAAGTGTGTCGAATGCAATTGCTCACTGAGCCGTTTTTCTCACTCTACCGGTGTGGCGAAAAGTCTTGTCGCTAAGGTTATTTCGCAGGATCGCTCCGAGCACAACCCACCCGAACCTCCCCCTAACCCAGTTCCAAACCTAACGCTTTTGCGTTGACTCGCGTTGAGTAATTCAGGTGGTCTAGTGGTTGGGATTCTGACATGGTAATAGAGCGAAGGTCTTGGGTTCGAATCCTAGTGTGTGCATTTCGGGCATCCCATTGCGGGGGGGTGTCAGAGGTCCACTGGTGATTCCCGATTGATCCTAGGGAAGGGTTACAGACATGTTGGCCTGTGGGGTTATGGGCGCACTTACCCGCTATTTAACAAGCCCTTTTATCCCAATGGTCTAGTAGTTGGGATTCTGACAGTTACGCATGGGAGGGGGGAAGTGGGGGGTTACTTATCGGAACTTCGAGAAAGATTCGTCTCGATAACTTTGCTTCAGGGACTAGCATTGAAACTCGATGGTCTGATTTGTCTGATGCAGCTTCAATGCTATTAATGCTTTTACGAAACTGCATGATCATCTTAAAATTTGAAGGTAACTCTGACAGTTCAGACAAAAAAAGTTGTGCTTATCTGAATAATCAGACTAGAATTTTGAGGCACCTCTGAACGACAGAGTTCGAGGAGGGGTGTAGTCTGATCGATCAGAGTGCCTCAAAACGAATCTAGGGGCCTGCCTAGCATTGATATAGCAAGGTCTAGCTACGGTAGGTCGAGGTTGCGGCACCGCGCATGGTCGGGACTTGGGTGTAGGTTCTGGGTTGGAAAACACGAAGGCGACGCGAGGGACGATTGGAGGGCGGGGTAATCGGACCGAGCCTGAAACTCCGAAAGTTGTAATTTTGCGCGCATAGGATGCCTCAGTAAGGAACTAGGCAAATTCGTTACACTACCTCCCATCAAATGTTGTAGCCTGTAGTGAGGCTTGTCATGTGGGGTACAGTTCTTAGGGTTAGATATATGTACCCCAACTCACAGTAATACACACACGGTTCCGTTTCTGACATGGTATCACCTAGGTAAGGATCCTGTCGGATTCCCGTTCCTCCCATTTGACCCACTCGCGCCCATTGCACCTCGCCTACCACGCCCGTAGCGCCATACCGTCGCGCCCGTCCCGTCCCCTAGCGCGCGTCGCGCCCGTCCCGTCCCTTAGCGCCTGTTGCACTCGTCCCGTCCCGTCCCCTCGCGCCCGTCGCGCCTCCCTGCCCGCCACGTCTCGCCCTGCCCGTCCCGTCACGTCGCGCCCGTCACATCCCGTACCCTCGCACCCGTCGCGCCTCCCTATCCGTCGTGTCGCACCCTTGTCAGAAATTAAGGAGCAGGAATAAATGCATTGATCAGAAATGAGGCACAAGTACTAACCCTAATGGGGTTGTACCCCATATATGCTACCCCACTACAGCCTACACAACATAAGTAGCATTATAGTTTGACACACCCCCATAGGCAAAGTGGGGGAGAATAAGGGGTCACAAGACCAGTCAAGAAAAGCAAAGCAAGCTCAGGGTGGATCACGAAGGCACCACACACTCTGAGCACAAGCAAGTGGCCATAAGGCCAGTTCACATGCAGAGTTATATATATGGGAACAAACAATAAAGTGATTATAACCTAGCAAGTGTAAGCATGCAGGTACAAGTTTATAGATCACAGTACAAGCAAAGTCACGAAGTGAGCAAGTGAGGCAAAGTAGGCACAAGGCCTAAAACAGTACAGAAACGCTGATGATCACGAGGCTGAAGTGCCTTGGTGAATATATCAGCAGTGTTGGCCCTAGCGGCCACGTAAGCAAGACGAAGCTGACCACGCTGCTGCAACTCTCGAGCAAAGAAGTAACGTAGAGTGATGTGCTTCGTCCTGCGCTCCAGTCTATGCTCCTGACACAATACAATCTTGGCCTTGTTGTCTACGTATAGTACTGGAGGAGAACTAGGCCGCTCTCCCAAGTCGGTCAGCAGGTAGGTGAGCCAGTGTAACTCCTTTGCAGCCATGACCCCTGTGTAGATCTCAGCCTCACAACTGGAACTGAGAACAGAAGATGAGCGGGTAGACCGCCAAGAAACAGAACCGGAGCCAAGGCTGAAACTGTAACCCTATGACGACCGCTGCGTAGCCAAGTCGT